TAACTTAACTGATAGATCTTCCAGTTCCACAGAACAGAAATTTTACCTTTAAACAAGCTGGTTTCTTGCAGTCTAAGATGAATTTATCTGAATTCATAATTCCTATTGTGGCATCGAAAACATGATGTTCACTGAAGAGAACTAGTTAACAAAATTTACTTCTGAACAACTTGGATAGTTACAAATGAATCAGGATAGTCTATATGTCTCACCAACCAGATGAAAGGGATTTAGATGATGGACAGATGTTTCGCTCATTTAGGTCCTAGCCAGGGATGTACCTGAACAAATTCAACTTGTACAGCTGAATAAGTTCACACTACTTGGAACAAGGCTGTCTGCTATTACCCATGATATTCCTGATTGTAGTGGAGTGGATCATTCAACAAACAGTGAGGAGCGAGAAGAGGGGAATACTCTCGCTCAACCGCAGAAAAGAACCTAGAAGATTTGGATTTCGCCGATGACTTGTGTCTATTATCGCACAAACTCGAAGATGTACAGGCAAAAACTAACAATTTGACAGAAGAGGCAGGGCAGGGCAGCGAAGACGGGACCTCAAGTGAATGTAGAGAAGACAGAGGTGATGAAGACAGCCAACCAACGCCACCAATAACAGCAACAAGCTCCAATCACCATCAACGGAAGAAACTTAAAGGAAGTAGTCTCTTCCAAATATCTGGGCAGCATCGTTTCAACTACAGGCGGTGGCACAGACGAGGACGTCAAAGCCAGCCAAGATCGGTAAAGCAACACAGGCTTTCATTAACTTGAAACCAGTGTGGAAATCTACTCTACTCAGCACAAAGAACAATATTCGGATTTTCAACACCAATTCAGTCAAGTCAACGCTTTTATATGATGGTTGAGAGACTTGGTGGGTTACGAAAAGCATTTTCAACAAACTACGGATATTCATCGACAGCTGCCGCCCACGCTCACTCGTTACTGAAGATTAGATCAGATGGATGGCCAGAAAGAATAAGCAACAAAGGACTCACTCTGGCAACTAACCAATCAAGAACCTATCACACAACAAACATGCAGAAGCAGAGAGAGGAAACAGATTGGGTATACACTGAGAAGGTTGACTGGGGACATCACGCGCCAGGCCAGACCGTCGAGTGGAACCCAGATGGGAAACAACAAGTTAAGTGTCGGAGGCGGGGGTGACATGGGATAGATGGTGTGAGGAAGAAATGAGAGCTTCTGGGCAGTCGTTGAAGCAGAAGTTTGCATATAACAGAATGCAACGGTGATGTGCTACTGAATCCATATGTTCCACTAGGAACCCAAGGGATAAATAATCATAAATACTTGAATTCGGCTAGCTGACTTCCATGTCTGGGCACTCCTGAAATAGTATGGTCAATTTGCAAAGGATCTACAAATCCACGATTCTCGTTAACATTTGTCACATAGTTGTGAACATTTTAAATTAACACCCAGCTATGGTGTCAACAAGGTTTCTGTTGAAAACCAATCGTCAACCAGGATCACTAGGTGTTATCGCTGACACGAAAATGCAATGAACTAGCGAAATGTACTACAAGTGAGTAATTTGAGTAGTTAGTTATAAAGCGTTAAGTCTTAGTCATAGTTTTCAACAAATTTATTCTCAAAATGTACATTCACTTAAATACATATAAGATGGTATTCATCATGGACTGACATTCCTTAGAGAAAAAATGACAATCCAAGAGAAATAAATAGCCATTTCGTTTTAGTATATAACTCTGCAACAGTGCACATTTATAACGCTGCCCCCCGGAGATCGAACCGAGGATCTTCGGGTTTTACTCACTCACTAGCATGGATTTCAGTAGATCACGTCTTCCTACTTGTCACCTCCTACTACAGCGCGTCTACTACCAGACCTATAGGTGTTCAGTTTGGTCCTTGTCGGCAAAATAAGTGCATATTGTTGAAGAGTCACATACTAGGACGAAAACACTATTAAATATAGCAATCCATGAGAAATATTAAATTTACATAATTGGGGACTGAAATAACAACAATGGTGGTTGTAATGACGTCGTTAGGGAATGATCTAACTTTACATTGTAAATCGATCATCGATGATGAATATATAGGAGAAAAAATGAATAAACCAACGAAGATCAAGTAATATGAATGAGACCGCAAGTTTCATATGAGATAGAATGAAAATATTGTGAAGATTAAGTAAGTTATGTAACATAGGAAACTGTTGAATGTAAAAGTAACATTGAAAACGACGATATTTAAGTACAAAGATTGATTTAACAAAGGGACAAATCATAAAATAGGAAGCGAAACAAACCGAAACGAAATAGAGTTAAAGTCAAGGTGGAAAGAGACAATTACTATACCTAGCAACTTTCCACACAAAAGCCAGGCTTCAGTTCATTACATAGTCAAGGTCTCCATTAGTTCTAGAAGTTGAAGAAGGGGAAAATGTGAAATAATTGAGCGAATTCAATAAACAATCTTAAAATGATTGTTACTGTACACTGAACCAGTAGAATCGATTGAATGTTGGAGGATAGAACTTTGAATACATCTCCTTTCATTCTTATAAAACTAGGCTGGGATATGTTTTTTTCTTTTGTTGTGTACGTGTTGTAAGCGATCTCTAACAACGGCCGATATATCTTACTCCACAGGAGTGATATCATCTCCATCTGAATCAATCAATCTTTAGATATTATTCGTGTGCGTATATTCAAATCTACATCATGGCAATAAATTCTGATAAAAATATTGCGATTGTAGCTAAAAAAAATTTAATCATTGTCAACCGTAAGTCAACTTCATATTAGAATTTGAAGTGAACTCAGAATTTCTGCTTTAACCGATGTCTTATTGAAATGTAGACCAAATGATTCTCTTCAGTGATTGATTTTTTGGAAGTAAAGATGGAATAGACAAGACTTAAATTTCTATAACTGGATGCCCCCCCCCCCTTCAAGCAGAAAACACCAATCTGATTTATTCTGTCATTAAGAATAAGAATAATCTGTGTATATGATACTATCGATAATAACTTAGATAAAGTATGAAGAATTCTCATATGAAATGGACACTCATCAAGATTTATTCACAAAAACTTGAAAGAGAAACAACATTTTATTTATGAAAGTTGGTTTGAAAAGTGAAACGTCAACATAGATGCCAAAATATCGTCTGTCCATATCACTCAAGAAGATATCCTTCTGTGTAAAGCTACAGATCATCTTCTGTAGTCAATAATTGGTATTGGGATATGATATAGACAAGTTCCCGCATTTGTATCATCACCTCACTGTATGTCTACAAAATTACTTGCTCCTGTTGAGCGAGTTATATGGGCGGGAAACAGAGCGAACTTTCCAACCGTCTCTATGAACACCATTCTACATGGTTGTCAAGGTGGGAATGGATAACAATTGACACTTGTGTCTCTGCATATTTCGTCATTTCTCGATATATTCAAACCTCATCTCTGCATGCATGACAAGTCTATTCAATCTCTCATCTCATATTGTTAAACTCCTCACCTTTCTCACTATTTTCATTGTCTACTTTCTATCACATAGACTTCAGTAAGAATCACTTGACTTAATGGTGTAATTATATCCTGTTGCTTAATAATAGTAGACTACTTTTATTTGACTATGATTTATGCAAATAGAATCGTGCAGGTTTACAAAAGGATCTCATTGAAAACGAAGGACTCTCCGTCCCTTAATTATCTCTACCTCCCTTGATTCTAATAAATTAGGTTTGCATATTACTAGAACGTTGTAAGTAGTTAGAATTAATTACTTTGGTGAGGAAGAAGAAGAAGAGTAAGAGAGGAAATATGATTTCCATAACTAACTGAATAGAAGACGGGACTTCAAGTGAATATAGAGAAGACAGAGGTGATGAAGATACCGCACCACCACCATCAACAACAACAACAAACTCCAGTCACCATCAACGGGAGAAACTTAAAGGAAGTAACCTCGTCCACACATCTAAGCAGCACTGTTTCAACTACAGGTGGCACAGACGACGATGTCAAAACCAGTCAGAACCGGAAAAACAGCTAGACAGGCATTCATCAGCCTGAAACCAGTGTGGAGATCTTCGGCACTCCACTCAGCATATGGAACAACATCCGGATTTTCAACACCAATTCAGTCAAGTCAGTGCTCCTGTATGGTTCAGAGACTTGGCGCGTTACGAAACGCATTTCCAATAAACTACAGACATTCATCAACAACTGCCGCCTACACTGGCTCGCTACTGAAGATCAGATGGATTGCCAGAATAATAAGAATAAGCAACAAGGAACTCTGGCTGGCTGGCAACGAACCAACCAAGAACCTATCACCCAACAAATATGCAGTGGAAGGAAGTGGAGATGGATTGGGCATGCACTGAGAAGGCCGGCTGGGGACATCACGCATCAGGCCGGCCCCTCGAGTGGAATCCCCATGGGAAGCGACGAGTTGGGTGTCCGAGGTGAGGGTGACATGGAGGAGATCGTGGGAGGAGGAAATGAGGGCTTCTGGGCTGTCGTGGAAGTAGGTTGAAAAGATCTCAGAGAAGAGAGTTCACTGGAGACGTGCTACTGAAGGCGTATGTTCCATTAGGAACCCAAGGGACTAATAATAACAATATAATAACTGAATAGAATTATTCATTCTCACTACTGTATGATCTATCCTATGAAGTCACCACATCCTTAATAGTTGATAATACAAATAGAATGTGGAGTGTATTTCTTCTCAAAAAATCTTAAGTTTTAACTATACAAACATTCCATCTTATTATAAATTCAATCATTACAGCCTATGTGCATACAAATTATCTCATTGTATTGAATGTAGTTTACACAGAGTAGACTTATATGTTCTGTGATATGTTTTGGTTAGTGAATAGAAAAAGGAATTCTTTAGAGAAAGAAAATATGGCACCATACTTTGTACATCGGATGATGATACAACTGAGTTGATCTGTTAATGGTATATATATATAGGTTGTTTAGATATGTACAATCAGATGTTATCTATTGTACGGTATCTGGTTATTGAAAGTGAGGAATTGACGACACTGGACGATTAAAAATGAATTGTATTCTGGCTGTAATTTCATACTGTAAGTTTTGATCTCCATGTAAATTTAAATTATCAACTTTAACTCTACATGGTATCCCTTAGGTAATAATAATCGTAATAATAATAGTCGAAGTACCACTGAAAAGCTGAAAATGCTGATTAGTTAGTTCTTCTAGCCTGGTAAAAGATTTCTTAGCTGTGTTTACTCATGAACCTTCTCTCGAACCAGAGATATAAGCATCGACTTTTAGACTTGGCAGTGATCTCAGCCCCATAATGAATATCTATTTGAAATCAGTAAATCTCCACAAACCTGCACTCTGAATTACAATAAAATTTGATAACACTTATTAGAAGATGAAGATTATATGAAAAATGTGTGTGTGACATATTTGCTCAATACATTTTGAATAATCTCAGCCTGAGCACATTCACTTATCTCAAGTCATCAACTTATATATATGAAAATGAAAGGTCAACTATAATGAATATGAAAAGGTTATAACACTAGTCTTGGTAATATCATCAGATTATCAAGGATTATCGAGGTAAATCAAGTTTTTTTGTACACACAAAGGGGGACTTAAGTTTACGAATGGTTAATACTTCAGTGAATTTCAGTATGCCCCCTTGACTGTTCCCATACAATATCGTGAATTCTGTTTTCGTATTAACCTTGTGATTCATTTTTGACGATATGATAACAATGGATGTCTATCTGTTGCACTACTTATCAATGTATGTGTGTTAAATTGCTTTTCAAGCCATTTAGGTATGTGTCCACCTACCCTAGTCTCTATTGAACGATTACTCCTGCTCATGTATTTGTGCTCAAACATACACAGTGGGATGTGAGGTAATCATTTATCCAAGGTTAAGGTTTGTAACTAAGCAAGTGTATTTTCATCTCAACAGTTGAGCTGGATAGTTTGTTTTACTGATAACACATTTTAATCTCTGCTTCAATATCATACTTTAAGAAATAAGTCTTTCTTTGGAATCGAAGAAACTATAGGTTTTGGGGTCAGCTGTTTTCTACAATGGCTCAAAAACTGTAATGGATATCCGTTTTCTATTAAAGCGTCTGTCAGAAATTTCCTTTCACCATCCATGGTAACGGATGTACAATGAATAAGCATCTTACTAAGCCTGTCTTATATTTCATCTGACAGAGGCTGTAAAAACTCAATGACTGTCCTGTCCAAGTAGACTTTCTACATACTGACCATTTGACAGATCCATCTTTCTTCCAACACAAGAGTATATCAAGAAATCCAAGTTGATGGTCATTTTCTTCCACATAAGTCAGATTGATATGATCATGTACGGTAATAAGCGTGTTTAACAAACCCTGCGCATCCTCACCTGTGTCATATACTACAAAGATAACATCACATACTTTGTATATAATGTGATATAAGTGATTAAATTGTGAGTCATTAGTTCAATATGCGACATATATACACCACAATCTTTTCATGTTCATTATATTTCACCTTGTGACAAGTAAATATATGAAGGATAAGATTGTTCGAAATGTGTATTGCTCAAATACATCACTCATTTATCAGATAATTGTTGTCTTCTAATAGAGTTATGGAAATTTATTAAAGGGACTAGTTATTTCAAAAAATGAATTTCTTAATAACTTGTTAGACACACTTGTGATTCTACACTGTAAGATAGGATAATGAGGAAAGAAATCAGTATCTATCAGGTGTAGTTTATCTCATGTATTCATGATTGACTTGCTGATAAGTTCTTGAGTGATAGATTCAGCATCATTTACGTCCTAATGAAGAATATGCAACTGACTGGTCCGTCTTCATTACCATCGAAGTTGATTGTAAGGTAATTTATAAAAGTCATTCATTCATAACTTCTTCCTCATTGCTTGCCATCGACAACTACTTATATGCAAGATATTTGGCTTCGTTGCCATGAAGCAGTTATATATACTCAAATATGTATTGATTGGTCATGGGAGTGAAACCAATTTCATCTTGTCTAGTACTGAGTCCAGACAGAATTCTATCGATCATATTTGTAATGTGGCAACCAAACTAGGAAGCTCAGCATCGCGGTGCATATTAGCAGATGTTAGTTGGTTGGAGGCGATAGGCAGGAAGCCCTGAACCTAGGTTTCGTGCTTTTTGGCACTCGTCAGCAAAGCGTACCTGTAACCTCGACGGAACTGATGTCCCGCCCAAGATTCGAACCCGCGTCACCCAGTGTTGTAGTCAGCGACTTTACCACTGAGCACGAAACCTAGATCCAGGGCTTCCTGCCGATTGCCTCCAACCACCTAACATCTACTAATATGCAAAGTGATGTTGAGCTTTCTAGCTTGGTTGACACATTGCAAATATGATCGATAGAATTCGGTCTGGACTCAGTACTAGACAAAATGAAATTGGTTGCACTCCCGTGACAAATCAATACATGTGAGCCAGTCCTACAGGAGGTCTGTCGCGGCCCGAATACCTCAGTGGCAAAGTCGCTGACTACAACACTGGGTGACGCGGGTTCGAATCTTGGGCGGGACATCAGTTCCGTCGAGGTTACAGGTACGCCTTGCTGACGAGTGCCAAAAGCACGAAACCTAGGTCCAGGGTTTCTTGCAGATTGCCTTCAACCAACTAACATATACTCAAATATCCCTGTCACTATCGTAATAGCTTGCGATTAGAGTTTCCAGTAATATTAGTAGGAACTCTTTCAACAAATTTCTCCTATATTTATGAATCAGTGGAAGGTATCAAATGTCGAATCGACTGTTGGTAAATGCTACTTCAGGAGCTTCAATCTTACATTTAACACGATTAGCCTTTACCACAAATTACTTATGAACGATTCTAAATATTCATTTGCTGTATTTGGTCACTTCAAATCAATCCAACATTGCTTCATCATTGAATTGGATCCCTTGTAAACTAAAGAAGTTCAGAATATGACATTTACTGAAACAATACAAGAATCCTCACTACGAGAATAACTTACTTTTATACTGGATGATGATTGAAGATGAAATGAAAATTTGTGTCATGGTAGGATTTGGACCACTGACTTATAGATTACTGACTCGATACTCTACTGCATTTCAGTGACGTGACTCAGCTGCCACGTGAATTCTTGATGGGTTATTGTTACTGTCTCAGATAGTCAGACCGACATTACTTTCTTTTCATGACATGATGTATTTCAGGTCTTTTAGTTTGTGTATTGTTTACGATGCGTGTGGTAACCGATTATTATTGATTTACAGGTATGCTTCATTAATCAAGGTTGAGATAATTTTATTTTTTGCCATCAGAGTTAACAGTGTTTGCTAAGCTTCATAATGTATACACTAATCTGCAAATGATCGTTGATTTATAGCTGCTTAAAGTCAACAGTTTAAACCTCCTAGTTTCAAATGAACCCTACTAATGGACTGACAAATTATCAATGAGACTTGAAAATCGATAGTTGCCCTATTTTTCTTCATTCAGCAACAAGCTGACAATCTGATTCAAGTATTCTTTCAATGTAACCCCACTCCTACATACTGTTAGTTGAAGAGTGTAGGATGGTTATATTTCGTTGTGTGAACTAACGTCATGTGGATAAGATTTGATCCGATAACGCCAACAATGACTTTAACACGTTGTACTGAGTGATACAAGCAATCTCTATACAAATAAGGTGGTGTATTTCATATTGTTTTAAGTTGATCATGTTCTATTCCATCTATGATTTACTTGACAATGTATAATAATTATTATTATTTGTCCCTTGGGTTCCTAGTCGAACATACCACTTCAGTAGCACGCTTCCATTCCACTCTCTTCTCTCCAGTCTTTTCAACACGGCTCCAAGACTGCTCACAACCTCTCATTTCTTCCTTACACCATCTACTCCATGTCACCCTCACCTCGGATGTCTTACTCCTGTCTTCACTTCACAGGTGTCACTAAACTTCCTATTGTGAATTACTTGGCATGCGGCGTCTTCTTATAGTTGCTGAATGAGGCTGATAGATGTTTGTGATATTCTGTAGAGTTGGAGCAGTTATCAAATTACTTCTCGGTCGACGCTGTTGAAGGCCTTTTCAAAATGGATGTACTTGAGGAAGGGCGTTGACTGCCATTCTATACTCTATTCTATGATGATGCGTAGAGTAGTGTAGCGTCGCAATTTGCTCCACACATGATTTGTACTTCCCAAATCCAGTCAGTCTGTTCCGGTAACAATTTTGAATCCAGTGCATCCTCCAGTCTCTCCAGGATGAATTGGCTTGATATTTTGCTGGAGGTGGATATGATTAGAGCATGATTCCGTACCAGTTCTTGCAAAGACTTAGGTCTCCCTTCTTTGGAGTTTGACAAGTTAGCCTTTCTTCCAATCAATTGGCAGGCACCTTCCCTTCCTTCCTTCCTTCCTTCCTTCCTTCCTTCCTTCCTTCCTTCCTTCCTTCCTTCCTTCCTTCCTTCCTTCCTTCCTTCCTTCTAAACCTTCTGCAGTAGTGGTGTGAGCGTGTCCGCTGTTGTCTCTGCGTCTGTTATCAGTGCTTCTGGTGGAATTCCATCTTGTCCTACTGCTTTCCTCAATTTCAGCAGTTTCATGGCATTCAGGACTTCTGCTTTTGCAGGAGGGCATGTGTTCACTGGTAGTTTTGCCATTGCTGGTGGTATTTCAGGACGAATTTTAGGTGGTGGTGGTTGATTCAAGAGTTTTTTGAAGTGGTTAGCCTTGACAATGTACCTCAACGAGCAAAAGGTGCCTGCTTGAGTGTGATAGAGGGTAATAGTATGATTTAATAATTTATTCATAATAGGTATAGGAAGAGAATTTTCAGTGAAATCAAGCTGAAACATCGGTGAATAGACTGTAAAATATTACAGGAGGTTCTGTTAGCCTAATTATCCATTTTTACCTATGTCTAAATCGAAAATCATAATGTACTCATTCATGTAGTAGACATTGAGCAGATACACTTAATTGTGTCATGTGCTAATGATACTACCTGACTGCCCACATCTTGGTAAGTAGGGCGATGGCCTAACTTTTGACCTACTGGTTGAAAGTCGACTGCTTAAGTCACTCAGTCCCCACTACTCATGTCCAGTATAATGCTGGCAGGAAGCTCTACCGATTGCCTCCAATCAACTAACATCTACTAATATGCAAAGTGATGTTGAGCTTTCTAGCTTGGTTGACACATTGCAAATATGATCGATAGAATTCGATCTGGACTCAGTACTAGACAAGATGAAATTGGTTGCACTCCTTTGACTAATCAATACATGTAATCTGAGTGTATATCTAAAATACACCAAGATATAATAACTACTAGTTTTCAATGAATTTCTCGACTTTTGACTGGTGGATTCCAAGTAAGAATATCGTTCTATTTATTGTGAATTAAATTATTCGATATATTTCCAAGATATAGGACACGTGTGTATTTAATAGCTTAATGAATCAGAGTAATTACTCATTTATCTTGAAAGTTTGAAGAAATAGGTTCCGCTTTTGTAAGTAAATACATTATACCACCTTCATTTTCTTCTACTGTTATTATTAGTTATTCTATTCCACACAATCTATGCAGAGGAAGATGTGTACTTAGCAGCTGGTGGTAATCCAAGTAAGTTATTCATAGTGATGAAAACATTTACCATTTTATCAGTCACTTCATTAATGTGAAATATATCTATCCGTCTTATGTTGTCAGTCGGCTTCAGGTTGTCGACTGAAAGTCGTACTTCACTAAGGTTTCTGGTCTTTTGCTACTTTTCAGGAAAGCACATTTGCAGCTTCAAGTGTTCTAATATCCCTTAAGAGATCCTAGTACACGTCGTAGACGTATTAATGAACATAACCTTATATGAGTGTGAGTGTTTGAGTGAGATTGACGCACTCCATGGAAGTCATCTAGTTGACCTGAAATGTGCAGATGATATTGTCGTGCTAGGTAAAGATGCTTCACAATGGGAAGCTCAGTGGTGCTTTGAAGTGAAGACAGGAGTGAAACAGGGTTGCCTACTATCCCCATCATATTCCTGATTGTGGTCGACTGGATCATGCAGCAAACAGTGGGCAGCGAGAAGAGGGGGATACGCTGGCTGGACTGCGGAAAAGAACCTAGAAGATCTGGATTTCACCAATGACTTGTGCCTGATGTCACATGAACTTGAAGATCTACAGGCGAAAACTAACAAGTTGGCAGAAGAGGCGAGGCAGCAAAGACACGACTTCAAATGAATATAGAGAAGACAGAGGTGATGAAGATACCGCACCACCACCATCAACAACAACAACAAACTCCAGTCACCATCAACGGGAGAAACTTAAAGGAAGTAACCTCGTCCACACATCTAAGCAGCACTGTTTCAACTACAGGTGGCACAGACGACGATGTCAAAACCAGTCAGAACCGGAAAAACAGCTAGACAGGCATTCATCAGCCTGAAACCAGTGTGGAGATCTTCGGCACTCCACTCAGTATATGGAACAACATCCGGATTTTCAACAAAGAGTGACCATCATATCTCAGTGGGCTAGTGCATAATGCCTTAGCTTTTGAAACGATCGGTTCTAGGTTGGCGACTCCGGGCGAAAAAACACCACTCACTGGGAAGCAAATATTTCCTTTTTTGTGAATGTCTTTTTATCGTAAAGATGGATAGTGGCTAGCAGTGGAATCTAGGATGCACATTTTGTCCTAATTGGGACCCGTCAGCTGAATGTACCTGCCTCCCAGTGAGTGATGTTGTTCCCACCGGGACTCGAACTCGAGACTATAACTAGAACTACACAGGTTTATCGAGGCATCTGCACAGGATTCCATATGCCAATAGGGACCGACCAATTTGGTCCAATCAAAGACGGTTTAATACAAGCAGTAACACTAATGTCTTTTTATCATCAATTATTCCATGAGGTTCAAGTTCATATGTATATTTCATAAGATGAACGTGTTCGCAACATTGTGATTGGTCATAATTTGCTATTAGCTTGTAAGATATCATATAAATCTTCCGATACAACGAGCGAGTCTATGGAGGCAATATCATATCCTCATATTTTTAGTCTGATCAAATCAACATGGAACTTCGCACGCAGGTGCATCGGTTCAAGTCCCTACAATTCACAGAAGTAGACAAAGAACAGCCGGATATAAAACGAGTGATATCTAAGTAGATAAAGTAGTGTGAGAGAACAAAGTATCAGAAGATAAAAATTAGTGTGAATATTTAAGCTTTACTAGATGTCAAGGAGTAAGTACATGTAAACTCATTTTCAGCCATGTCACAAAGAGTTCTCAACCACTGATCCCAACCAGGTAGTCAACATCTTCCTCACACGGATCAAGCCAACAGTCAGAGACTTCATGCACTGGTGCTAGGTCTGGTCTGGCCACCCTCAACGCTGTTCAGTGCTAATCCAACTTCTCCAAACATGGTACGTCGAGTTAGGCAGTGGTTCGCCATACACAGCACATGTCTAAACCATCTCACTTCACAACCTCATCAGTCGACTTGCCTGCCTTGCCTTGCTTAGTAACCACTTCATGTCATCTTCTTTTAACGGTCATGATTCAGAGTGATGCGAAAGGACAGAACGAAGTGGAGTGCAGTATAGTCAGTGTTTGATAGACAGTCGGATATCTCGTCACTTGGCGCCACAGTTGACGTAAGTAGACAAATGCCAAATGGGCTGTCTGTATCCTCAGATTTATTTTCGTCAACAACCAGCCGGTTCAGTGGGTTGATGCAACTCCGCACTCAACTCCTAATCATCAGGCTGATAGTTATTGCAGACCAGTCCTGGAACATCATCTTAAATTTTTCACCCACTACAAAAATACACCGGTTTCTGCTCAAAGCTTTCACAAGACACTGTATTTTATCAGCACCTTTACCTATATTATTATTATTATTATTTATTAGTCCCTTGGGTTCCTAGTGGAACATACGCCTTCAGTAGCACGTCTCCAGTGAACTCTCTTCTCTGAGATCTTTTCAACCTACTTCCACGACAGCCCAGAAGCCCTCATTTCCTCCTCCCACGATCTCCTCCATGTCACCCTCACCTCGGACACCCAAACTCGTCGCTTCCCATGGGGATTCCACTCGAGGGGCCGGCCTGATGCGTGATGTCCCCAGCCGGCCTTCTCAGTGCATGCCCAATCCATCTCCACTTCCTTCCACTGCATATTTGTTGGGTGATAGGTTCTTGGTTGGTTCGTTGCCAGCCAGCCAGAGTTCCTTGTTGCTTATTCTTATTATTCTGGCAATCCATCTGATCTTCAGTAGCGAGCCAGTGTAGGCGGCAGTTGTTGATGAATGTCTGTAGTTTATTGGAAATGCGTTTCGTAACGCGCCAAGTCTCTGAACCATACAGGAGCACTGACTTGACTGAATTGGTGTTGAAAATCCGGATGTTGTTCCATATGCTGAGTGGAGTGCCGAAGATCTCCACACTGGTTTCAGGCTGATGAATGCCTGTCTAGCTGTTTTTCCGGTTCTGACTGGTTTTGACATCGTCGTCTGTGCCACCTGTAGTTGAAACAGTGCTGCTTAGATGTGTGGACGAGGTTACTTCCTTTAAGTTTCTCCCGTTGATGGTGACTGGAGTTTGTTGTTGTTGTTGATGGTGGTGGTGCGGTATCTTCATCACCTCTGTCTTCTCTATATTCATTTGAAGTCGTGTCTTTGCTGCCTCGCCTCTTCTGCCAACTTGTTAGTTTTCGCCTGTAGATCTTCAAGTTCATGTGACATCAGGCACAAGTCATTGGTGAAATCCAGATCTTCTAGGTTCTTTTCCGCAGTCCAGCCAGCGTATCCCCCTCTTCTCGCTGCCCACTGTTTGCTGCATGATCCAGTCGACCACAATCAGGAATATGATGGGGGATAGTAGGCAACCCTGTTTCACTCCTGTCTTCACTTCAAAGCACCACTGAGCTTCCCATTGTGAATAACTTGGCATGTGGTGTCTTCATATAGTTGTTGAATGAGGCGGATAAAGGTTTGTGGTATTCCGTAGTATTGAAGCAGTTTCCAAATTACTTTTCGGTCGACGCTGTCAAAGGCCTTCTCAAAGTCGATGAAGTTGAGGTAGAGAGCTGATTGCTATTCTATGCTCTGTTCTATGATGTTGCGATGCGTTGCAATTTGGTCTGCATATGATTTGTACTTCCTGAAGCCTGTTTGTTCGGTCGTAGTTTTGAATCCAGTGCATCTTTAAGCCTCTCCAGGATGATGCGGCTTAATATTTTACTTGGGGTGGAATTAGATTAGATCGACACAGTAAAGTGAACTATGAACTGCTGTAAAAGAGATGACTGAGTCTGTTTAGCAGGTAGTGAAAAAAAAAAATCAACATTCATTGGATTGTCATCGTATCAGCTACTTAATTGTAAGTTGAACAAAAACCACACGTTGGGTTTGTATTTATCAGAGTAAAGTTGTCAATTCTAGCCTTATGGGTAGGTATAAGTTTGTATTCTCACCTGACTGATATCTGTTAAAGAATCACTGAAAAATGAAAACAATGAAGAGTTGTTCCTTGTCAGTATAGGATATCCCAATAGTGAAACCTTATGACCACAATATGGTTCGAACTCAGAACTATATCTCTACTTCTATCAGTTATCATAATCATAGATGTTCACTGCCAAGGATTCCTATTCAAAGATGAAACAGTTATTCTCATTGTTTCTAGAATTTTAGTGTTTATCCAACCGATATCATTTAGGATGAATATCCCATTGAAATGTATAGATTCTTACAAACTGTTAAAGCGAATTTCAAGCATAAATATATTTTTTTCAATCTTCGATAAACACTTGAATTATATGATTCCTCTTGTAGATGATCCAAGCTCATCAACAATCTGGATTTTACAAGAAAGAACAAATAAAATATTATTGGACTGGATTCCGTTTACTTCAGATTCTATTGAGAATTTACAACTTCTACGAAATGGAAACAGTTATCGTGATTTGGATAAGGATACAACTACAGTAGCTATAAATACAGTTGGATCATTTTGTCAGTCAGATAAATATGAAATTCATGGCAAATCATTAACCCTGGGATTTATTCCAAGAACACGCGAAAGAAAAAGCTTAATTTACAAACGAGGTGAGTGTTTGATATAAGAATCTGTAGATTTAGACTGTTCGAACTTCAGAGAAATTCAAACATCCCTAGATGAAGAGTCTCTATGAAACGAAGAATGTATACAAGATTCTACTGTCGACTATTATTCATCTTTATTTACATAATGATTGCTGTCTAAGAAAGAGGCATTCTATCAAGTTACAAAAGAACTGCATAGTTAACCAGTGTAATACACATAAACATTGAAGGTAGCAATAGACTGAAATTATACATCAGTTTATCTAAACTGTTATTTCTCTAAAAGAAGTTTTATCTAACTGGTTTCTTGTCTCAAGAAGTAGACAACTAATCACTGACTTCCTAAATATAAAGAGTGAGAAAACCTTTACATTATACCTTGAAACTCCCTGTAAAATATAATGAACTTTGATATCATTGATGGGTAATATCTATCAGAGGAATCTAGGATGGATGTTTCACCCAATTTTCAACTCATCAGCTTGTTAAACATGTCTCTAAGTGAGTTGTTTTATTCTCGTTAAGTCTTGAATACACGACCATTTGGTTCAGATACTACAACATTGTACAATAGACCACCAAGTCATGATAAACACTTAATTTTGCGTATTTTATAGTATAGATTATATGTTATAACTTATAAACGACTGATAAGTTTGGTCCAATCAAAGATAGGAATTAACAAGCACTAACGTCAAAACGATGACCAACATCATTTTCTATTGTCTGTACCCTCTTAATTTTCACACAGTCATTCTGTATAATACTGTTTCAAATGGTTTATACTGTTCTTATCAATTACCTCATATAAATATCATTTCAATATAGAGAACTGTTCACACTGCTTCTGAAAGATATTTCCTAATTATTTCACAATATCATATATGAAGTTTCAAGAAATTGTATTGCAGCTGAATTAGAACCTCTGACTTCCATAGTACCATTTCAACTATCAACCTGCTAGATCAATCTCATCAACTCTTCGCTGATTCTGAGTAATATATTAAGTCCCAAAGAACTGGGGCGGAATCATGCTCAAACCATATTCACACCAACAAAATATTAAGAAAATTCATCAGGCACACAACAAAAAATACTCCCCTCTCAAAATTACCACATCAACACCCTGCATGCCTGGATGCATGGATGCCTACCTTCACCAAAAACAAATCATGTCACAAGCAAATTCAACACAATGCTACAATACACCACACTACACTACACTACACCACCCAACGCATCATCATACAACAAACAGTACATAGAATGACAGCACACTGCACATCTACCTCTACATATACCTCAACTTCACACACTTGAAATAAACCATCGATACCATCGACCGACAACTAATTCGACACCTGATCCTCCTGCTTCAACACTACACTTCCAATACCACTAAACTTTATCAACCTCATCATACACCACACAAGCTATATGCTTCACATATGATCAGACCACATGTCAACCGATTCACAACACAATGCAAAGCTCAGTGATGCCTCTCAAGTGAAGTGAAGTGGAGTGAAGTGAAGTCAGGGGAGATGGTAGAGTGGAGAGGGGACAGGAGTAAGACAAGGCGACCACCCAATATCACCCATCATCTTCCTCATTCTCGTCCACTCAACTCAACTCAACTCGACTCAACTCGACTCGACCCGATTGGATTGGATTGAGTGATGCAAGAAACAACTGTGAGGAGTGAGAAGATGAACATACGCTGTTTGAAGGATGAGAAGACCCCAGAAGATTTCAATTTCACCAATGATGATTTATTTATATCTACTGTGTTATGTGGTACAAGCTGGAAGATGTGTAGGTGGAAAGCAACAAGTTGTGAGAAGAGGAGGTGAAGGGGGCAGCTAGCACGGCACTGTCTTCAAGTGAAGTTGGAGAAGAATACAGAGGTGATGAAGATGCCCAGGCAGCAGCAGCAGCAGCAACAACCACAACAACAACGGCAACAACAACCACAAGCACTAGTCACCTTACTCGCACAACTGAGAAAAGCCTTTCTGACCGAGTTGCTTATTCACTCACCCATAATACATCGATCTTTGCTGCATATCACGAAGTAATTGGATGATTGTAAGGGTCACCACACTCTGCACCAAAACTTTAATATTAACCTGAAAATCTAATGTCAGTTTCATACTGATAAAGTAAAGGATCTTCCTAACAAGATCGAAACGTTGATGAATGAATCACTATTTCATGTTACACGTGTGTACAAAGTTTGCTTATTTTCGATTGCATAAAATTCTTACAAAAGTAGCTAGCTGGTATTCTGTTCAGATACTGTTTGATACAAAGTTCACAGAAAGAAAGTAAACATCCTAGCCAGTATTTGCTTCGGGCGTACATTGTAAGTTTTAGGGAAAAACCCGAAAATTTTACTTTGGGTACGGATGTGGAAACACATGATATTCTCCCAAAATTTCAAAATATTTTCTCCAAAACTGTCAAAAATTTCAAAGTGCACCCAAATTATATGTAGTGCGCCGAAGTTCACAAAGTGTAAGCAGCACGCAATAAGTTTTGGAAAAACGTATATTCACAGTTCTGAGAGGTCATATTTGGTAATATTATATACATATATACAAAGAAGAGAAACAAAGGAAACGATGGGCTAACCGCTTCAAAAAACTCTTGAATCAACCACCACCACCTAGAATTCGTCCTGAAATACCACCAGCAATGGCAAAACTACCAGTGAACACATGCCCTCCTGCAAAAGCAGAAGTCCTGAATGCCATGAAACTGCTGAAATTGAGGAAAGCAGTAGGACAAGATGGAATTCCACCAGAAGCACTGATAACAGACGCAGAGACAACAGCGGACACGCTCACACCACTACTGCAGAAGGTTTAGAAGGAAGGAAGGAGGGAAGGAAGGGAAGGTGCCTGCCAATTGATTGGAAGAAAGGCTAACTTGTCAAAACTCCCGAAAAAGGGAGACCTAAGTCCTTGCAAGGACTGGTACGAAATCATGCTCCAATCATATCCACCTCCAGCAAAATATCAAGCCAATTCATCCTGGAGAGACTGGAGGATGCACTGGATTCAAAATTGTGACCGGAACAGACTGACTGGATTCAGGAAGTACAAATCATGTGTGGAGCAAATCGCGACGCTACACTACTCTACGCATCATCATAGAATAGAGTATAGAATGGCAGTCAACGCTCTTCCTCAAGTACATCCATTTTGAAAAGGCCTTCAACAGTGTCGACCGAGAAGTAATTTGATAACTGCTCCAACTCTACAGAATATCACAAACATCTATCGGCCTCATTCAGCAACTATATGAAGACGCCGCATGCCAAGTAATTCACAATAGGAAGTTTAGTGACACCTGTGAAGTGAAGACAGGAGTAAGATAAGGCTGACGCCTACTATCACCCATGATATTCCTGATTGTGGTCGACTGGATTATGCAACAAACAGTGGGGATCTGTGAGAATAGGGGGATATGCGGGACGAGGGAAAAGATCCTAGAAGATTTGAAATTTGCCGATGACTTGTGTCTAATGTCACACAAACTTAAAGATCTATAGGCAAAATCCAACAAGTTGACAGAAGAGGTGAGGTAAGGCAGGGAAGACGGTACTTCAAGTGAACATAGGGAAGACAGAGGTGATGAAGATACCCAACCAACACCATCACCACCATCAACAATAAGCTCCAATCATCATCAATGGGAGAAACTTAAAGGAAGTAGTCTATTTCACCCACCTAGGCAACACCGTTTCAACTACAGGTGGCGGCACAGGCACAGACGAGGACGTCAAAACCAGGATCGGAAGGAGAGCAAGACAGGCTTTCACTAATCTGAAATCAGTGTGGAGATCTACTCCACTCAGCATAAAGCGTAAACAGCATCCGGATTCTCAACACCAACGTCAAGTCAGTGCTTCTATGTGATGGTTCAGAAACTTGGCGCATCACGAAAAGCATTTCCAACAAACTACAGATATTCTTCAACAACTGACGCCTACGCTGGCTCGTTACTGAAGCTCAGATGGATTGCTGGAAAGAATAAGCAACAATCAACTCTAGCTGGCAACGAGCCAACCAAGAACCTATAGGTCAACAAATTTTCGGAAGAAAGTGGAGATGGATTGGACATGCACTGAGAAGTCCTACCGATGACATCATACTCCACGCTAGTCGTTCGAGTAGAATCCTTAGGGGAAAACGACAAGCTGGGCATCCGTGGCGAGGGTGACATGGAGGAGATAATGTGAGGAAGAAATGAGAGCTTCTGGGCTGTCGTGGAAGTAGGTTGAAAAGATTGCAGAGAACTCAAGGAACAAATAATAATGATGACATATATATATCCTTCATATTTTATTGCCATATGTTTTTGTGTATTTCAAATCAATGGAAATGACTGAAAAATTTAGGGTATACCAGAAATTTGTTAAGTGCACCCAAAGTTTCTTCGTACTAAAACCTGAAATTTTCATAGTGCTCTCGAAGTAAGTGCTAACTGGGATCATAAAGGCTTAAATCCATTGCATTTAGATAAAAAAAAAGTCTCATTTCTACACTATTTCCGTCAATATACTAAAATTTTACTTTAAATTTTCCAATAGTGCCCAGAGTTATAAACCCAAGTTTAGTGGTAAAGAATAACCACCAATCATCCACTGAAATACAATGGGATCTTGAAGGAGAACCCTGTGAAATGAATTCTTATATACTAATTTTTACACCGGATTCATATGGAGCTTTTGAAATGCATATTCAATCTACTAACAACAAACATTTTGTCATCAATAGAAAACTAAACAATACAGAAGAAGTTATAATGACTGTGTTCCAGGGGAATTCATTTGCTCTTCCAATTATAGGTAAACTTATATACTCGATTAATAAAGTATCTTATATATGTAATAGGTTTTATTGAAATTTAGCGTCTAGATTATAATCTCTTTTAGTGATAACGATTTTTCAGTATGTATGAACATTGTTAAGAGATGGATTCAGGTATACAGAGATAATGAATAATGTTAAACAGAAATAATATAAGAACTTTCAAGAGTTACCTACCTGTATTGAATGATTGAGGAAACAGCTGACTTCGCTGTCAGTTGAACAGATGATATATGATTGTTTGATAAGTTGGAGATATATGACAATGGCTACTTGAAATAGTCTCCTTGTTTCAGAATGTAATCTGGATCGGAAGAAATGAGAAACTGATTTGTTATCGAATTCAAAGCATAAACTTTATGTATATGCATATAGGTTCAACTGAAACAAGCGTATAGAAACATTTAGATAGAATAAATATCATACAATTATCGCAAGCTATTCAAATAATGAATAATACGTCAATGAAAGTATATTTAATTTTTCTTATCGTCTAATCACACTAACTAAGATGCTTTCAAATAAAATCATCCATTATAGTGTAAATTTATTTTCTAAATCCATAGTACAGGCTTGAAAAGGTACATTGTGTATCTCTCTCATCCTCAGTATCGAAATCTTGATAACTCGATTGAGGTTCAAATCAATGGCCTATTGATTAAACGTCAACTGTCGTCTACACCGATGAGCTGTAGCTCCACCTTGAATTCCTGAGTAGTTCATTGAGAAGATAAATTTTTTTGAGAAATTGGTATGATGTGATGATTGTGAGATAAAATTCAACCAACTGAGTAACATTTACCTTCACTGAATGAAAGAAAGGATTACTCATTCAGTTGTATGCTATCAAGGTAATTTAGCAAGCTAATAGATGCTTATGGATAATCGTAATATTTTTATAGGATAAGGTTGTGAAAAACTTTGTACTATTACCATTATTATTGTAATTATTATTTCAAATTACTATTCATCGTAGACTGACATAAGTTGGAGGAACAAAGGAAACCTAAGAGCACTGCACAGCTGTTTCGTCCAACTAGTATGCGACTCCTCATCAGTGCGCACCCACGACCCCGCCAGGGATGGAACCCGTGGCCTTCAAGTTCCGTGGTCAGCACTTTACCGTTGAGCTAGCCACTGGGTCAGCGGAATCCAATCGTCCATATCTCCAACTTCTGTTAGCTCATGACATAGCACAACTGCCAGCCAATGTCGTCATTGACTAACTGTCCTAAGGACCATCAAGCTTTAATGACACTTGTAATTCCAAATCGTTATACTGGAAAGAACTGCTGGACCTCTGTTGACAGATGGGCTCCTATGCCGAAGCATGGATCTTTCCTGAATATTCATTGTGTTAAAGTTTTCTTGGTAGCAGGTAGCAGGACTTATTACTTGGATGTAACTGCTCCCCCCAAGACTCGAAGTAGTACCCATCGCTCTAGATGACAAAAGGAATTCCACTAGGCGACTGTGGTATGACGGCTACCTGTTATTATGATGAGTCAAAATAACCGACTACCTCGTCCTAGACTTCAGTGCTATCAACCTTCAGATGATTAGTGATTTAAAAGCAACTGGTCCCTTAGATAAATTTAAACAACGTAATGAGATTATCTAGTTTGGAAGGAAGGGATGAAAGGTACCTGTCAACTGGAAGAAGGAGCACCTCGTCTTTGCAAGAACCGGAGAGGAATCATGCTCCAACCAAATCCACACCAAAAAAAATATTAGGCTTATTCATCACGCAGACAACAAAAAATACTCCCCACTCAAAATTACCATATCAACACCCTGCATGCCTGGATGCATGGATGTCTACCTTCACCAAAAACAAATCATGTCACAAGCAAATTCAACACAATGCTACAATACACCACACTACACTACACTACACCACCCAAAGCATCATCATACAACAAACAATACATAGAATGACAGCACACTGCACATCTACCTCTACATATACCTCAACTTCACACACTTCAAATAAACTCTCCATACCATCGACCGACAAGTAATTCGACACCTGATCCTCCTGCTTCAACACTACACTTCCAATACCACGAAACTTTATCAACCTCATCCTACATCACACAAGCTATATGCTTCACATATGATCAGGCCACATGTCAACTGATTCACAACACAATGCAAAGCTCAGTGATGCCTCTCAAGTGGAGTGAAGTGAAGTGAAGTGAGGTCAGGGAGATGGTAGAGTGGAGAGGGACAGGAGTAAGACAAGGCGACCACCCAATATCACCCATCATCTTCCTCATTCTCGTCCACTCAACTCTACTCAACTCGACTCGACTCGACTGGATTGAGTGATGCAAGAAACAACTGTGAGGAGTGAGAAGATGAGCATGCGCTGTTTGAAGGATGAGAAGACCCCAGAAGATTTCAATTTCACCAATGATGATTTATTTATATCTACTGTGTTATGTGGTACAAGCTGGAAGATGTGTATGTGAAAAGCAACCAGTTGTGAGAAGAGGAGGTGAAGGGGGCAGCTAGCACGGCACTGTCTTCAAGTGAAGTTGGAGAAGAATACAGAGGTGATGAAGATGTCCAGGCAGCAGCGGCAGCAGCAACAACAGCAACAAGGACAACGATAAGAAGCAGAAATCACGATGAGTGGGAGAAATCAGAACGAGGTTGTCTCTTTCACTTACCTATCTCCGTGGGAGACAACATCGTTTCGACTACAGACGGCGGTACAGGCACTTATGAGGATATTAAAGGCAGCCAGGATCGGAAAGACAGCAGTACTGGTTGTCCTTCATTAATGTATGGAGATCGGTGTGGAGACCTACTGCACTACAGTGCACTCAGCATAAAGTGTGAACAACATCCGGATGTTCATCACTGCCAATGTCGGTCACATAAGTCAGTGCTTCCATGTGATCGTCAAGAAACTTGGAGCGTTACGAAAGCATTTCCAACAAACTACAGACATTCATCAACTACTGCCTACTCTGGTTACTAAAGATCAAACGGCCAGAAAGAATAAGCAACAAGCAACTCTGGCCTGCCAGCGAACCAAGCAAGAACCTATCGCTCAACAAATATGGAGAAGAAGAGAGTAGAAATGGATTGGATTAGATTGGATTGGACATACACTGAGAAAACCATTCGGGGACATCACGCGCCAGGCCAGGTCCTCAAGTGGAACCCAAATAGGAAACAAGGAGTTAGGCGTCCGAGGCGAGGATGATACGGAGGAGATAGTATGAGGAAGAAATGAAAGCTTCTGCGCCTTTTGTGGAGCCAGACTACAGAGAACAGAGTACATTGGAGACGTGCTAGTGAAGCCTTATGTTCCACTAAGAACCCAAGGGATAAATGAATAATATAATAATGAGATTATCTGAAAAATGTGTGGTGTATCAGGATTTATATAATTCGAACAATCTGATCACATACATGAACTTGTCGAACTATTTATATGGAAATATACGAAAAGGGTCAGTGAAGTTTATAGGAAACGTAGGAATAGGAAGAGAGAGAGAAAGAAAAAAACGTTAATCACCTTACTGTTGGTATGAAAATTAAAAATCAACACTACCAAGGTAGGTTCAACGTAAGCACAAATTGTTTTTGTATACATTGGAATTTACGGATGGTAAGAGCTTGAATAAATGTACCAGCGACTTAGGTACATGTTCAGCTATCGTTAACTGCGTATCATGATTACTCCTCCCTATGTATGTGTGTCCATACATAAATGTAAACTGATAAATACAGTGGGATGTTGAAATAATAGAGAATATTTGTAGCTCAGGTGGATGGTCTTGGTTGTATTGTGTTCTCTCAGCTGGGTTGTTTAATCAATCGTGAAGCTTTCATCGTCTCGCTAGACGACATCATCAATATGAAGTGAACTGTCACAATATCTCTCCGTGAGTGATTTAGTGGCTTGCTCTAAGGAAGTGGTCTGTGATTGGTTGTTTTCTTCGATTGTTGTATCATAGACTTTCCTGTTGGCTGTTCCTCTGCTTCATCTCTGACCTTTCTGTCGCGCATCGTTTTTTCTTATTGGTTGATAGATCGTGTCTACGTCTATACATCTGCTGATTGCTGACTGACTGACCTGAATGCCAAGCTTCTGGGAATTCTCTGACATTCTTCTTCCTCTGTCCAAAATTTCTACATTGTCAAAGTTGAATTCATGTCCATAATTATCCACATGCAATGAAATGAGTGACGAAATGTCGTGGCGTTAAATAGCCAGTTTGTGCTCATGTAGACGAAGGTGAAGAGGGAGGCCACTTTGTCCAATGTAGTGTTGACTACAGTTATTCCAATTGATTTTGTAAATGATATTCGGTTTGTCTTCTTTGTTTGTTGTATCCTTTAGTCTGCATAAAATAGTGTTTGGAGGGAATTTGTTGGTTTATGAGCCACACCAATTCCAAGTGGTCTCAGTAACCTTGTCGTGATTTCTGATATATTCTTTATGTATGGTAGGACGATGCGTTTGTTGATTTCTGTCGATGACTTTGTAGTTGATGATGCACGGGATAGGCATCTTCTGATAAAGTTTCGTGGGTAGCCGTTCTTCTTTAGGGTGGACATCAAGTAATTTTCTTCGTTTTTCCTTGAAGTTGTTGTGCTGCAGTGTGTTCTCGCTCATTTGAATAGGGTCTGCACGCAACTGATTTTGTGTGTCGTTGGGTTGTTGCTATTGTAGTTCAGGATTTGGTCAGTGTGTGTTGGCTTCCTTTGCACTTGGGTTTCCAGCTTTCCGGTATTTGTCCTACTGACTAAAACATCCAGGAATAATAAACGACAGAAAGGTCAGAGATGAAGCAGAGGAACAGCCAACAGGAAAGTCTATACAATCAATGACACAACAATCGAAGAAAACAATCAATCACAGACCACTTCCTTAGAGCAAGCCACTAAATCACTCACGGAGAGATATTGTGACAGTTCACTTCATATTGATGATGTCGTCTAGCGAAACGATGAAAGCTTCACGATTAAACAACCCAGCTGAGAGAACACAATACAGTGGAATGTGATGTAATCGTTTATATGTTGTTTTGGTTTGTGTTGTCTTCACTACAATGATGATCTTAGCTGCATATGTTTTGCTGATGATTGATTTGAACCTTTTCTTCACAACAAAGCTATATGATTCATCAATAAATGTAGACATTTGTCTTAGCAACAGAATACTCTATACTTGTTAATTCAATATAACTTTTACATCAGTGAATACATTTCAACAGGATAGCCATTAACTTAACTGACCCCTTTCTTATATTCGATAAGTTCATGTGTAATGATTAGATTATTGGAAATGTATTGCCCTGATACATCACGACATGTATTTAAATGGTTAACAAAAACCCTTTTTTTTTAAACAATAATTTTCATCCTCTTCTCGACGATTACACTTCTGGATGGAATATATAAACCTTAATTGTAAGTTGTTCTTTTATACTACTGATATTTTTCATATTGTGATATGAAGCACCGAGAAATTAGTCATAGTACCAAATAAGTAATGGATATGATTTACTTTTTTTAAGAAAAAACTATTTGACTATAGAATTTTTAGCACACCCTTTAGTAGAGGTAGTTGACGGCTAGAAGGGATTTGTTCAAAACACCTAGGGACCATTCAAATACCAGACTAGTAAACTTTTACGAGTTAAAACTTAGGCTGAATGATCTACGCATAGAAGAGGAGGAAAAAATGATTAGCTTCTATGTAACTAGTCTGTATACTAAAACACCAATCAATATGGCACTGGAGACAGTCAGAAGTCAACTAAATATTGACTCAAAACTTACTCACAAAACTAAGATATCGGTTGATGAGATTATATTAAGCATACAGTTATGTCTGACCTGTACAGTCTTCAAGTTTTAGAACAAAATATACAGACAAACAAAAGGAGTAGCAATGAGATCACCAATATCCCCAATCCTAGCAGATATATATTTATGGATAGTTGGGAAAACATGGTTTCACAAACGTTTAGTCCTACACCAAAAATATAGTGGCGATATGTGGATGACACATTTACTTACTGTTTTGAAATCGGAACATATCGACAATTTCCTCATGCATATAAACTCAATAGTAGAAGCAATTCAATTCACTTACAAGGAGATAGAAAATGAACAAGGCGAATTACCTATATTGGATTGCAGAATAAAACGAAGAACAGACGGTGGCTTGGATACTACTGTCTACAGAAAACCAACACATTTCAACAAGTATCTAGACTTCAAATCATCCCATCCAATGTCAGTTAAGACAGGATTAGTCAAATGTCTAAGCGACAGAGCTAGAAAACTGACTAGTCAGTAATGCAAGAACCTAAACAACGAATTAAAACACGTAAAAGAAGCTCGAATAGTTAATAATTATCCTCTGTAGTTTATTAAGAAATTCTTACGGATACACGAAAAACGAGTGCGACTAATAACGACAACACGAGTAGAAAGGAGTTCACAACTTCCATTGTGTTACCGTACAAGGAAGGCACATCAGAAACTTTACAAAGGATCCTCAACAAAGCTGGAATTAGTTATGGTGTCATTAAAACCTTCAAACTCACTCAGACATAAGCTTTGTCGATTGTCTTAAGGATCCGATAGAACCAATTAAGTAAAATAATCTAATCTATGAAATTCCATGTAATGACTGTGAGGTCGAGTATATAGGTCAAACTAGTCTATCGGGGTCAGTTAGAATAGCCGAACATAGAATAACAGACCTAAATAAGGTCAATAATCTAGAAGAAGACTAGGCTATTGCAGTGCACATGCAACCCCATACACAATAGGTTGAGTGGGATGAAGCCACTGTACTTAAGTCCAATGTAAATAGGTGGAGAGAAAGAAAGAGAGATTGATTACTGAATCTTTGTTCAACTAATCAACATCCACCCAACACATGCAAGAGAACTGATGCAACACCAATACCAGAGATATGGAAAATTTTCCTACCAATAAAACCAACGTATATAAGGTGACATAACTATAGAAATCAAATGTCGAAAGTAGTGTGTGATTACATTGAGATATGATTATGAACAGTGATAATTTATGCTGAAAACGTCAAATCCCTGACAGAGAATTAAAATCTACCACAGTGCCCAAGTAATACACCTACACATAATTTAAACCTATCAATGGTCATTAATGAAAAACTGGTATATTGAAGTTGACCTATTCAGATTGAATGATGTAATCCGTTTAAGATGTAAAACATTAAAAAACCAATTAACTGTGATAATTGTTTATCAGTACAACTTGACATTTATCAACAATTGGCTTTGTTAACATTCAAACGAGTAGATTCATCATGTAAAACATATGGTGTTAACAAAAGTTATAGATTAAGAAATTCGTCCAATAATGAAAGTAAAGAGGGTATCTGATAGATTCTATGGGCTGTTTTATCACTTTTCATCTCTCCTGTAAGACTTACTATTGTATTAGTGCAAAAAACAGCCTTACTAGTTAAAGTGAATGAAATTTGATCACATGATTTGAATCCATTTGTGAAGTAATCAAATTTATGGATATCCAAGGATGGTAGTATTCGTCACGGACCTACACTAGTTGAAGAATCATTTCGAATGACTGACCTCACAGGTCACGAGGAGTGGCCTACTGGAAAACGATCTCACATTTGAAGTGACAACTTCTACGTTCAAGTGTAAGTGTAAATGGAAACAACACCACTCACTCGAGTGTGTGTACATTCAGCCGACGGGACCGAAATAGTACATGACATGCCTTCAGTGTTAGCGAATATTGATCATTAATTTCATGATAGGCTTAAATATCGTTCAATCTCAAATCCAATGTTGTACAAAACATCTTAAATTCAGTAAAATGCTGAACACGATACACATCCACAGTAAATGACTTCAGCAGCTTACGGGTGGAGTGAATTCACACGTAGCCACATTAAGTGCATACTCTTATTAATCTTATGTGTTCCATGCACTCCCAGTCGAACATAGGGCCAAAATAACACGTCACCATTTCACTCCGCTATCTGAAGTCTTTACAAACTCGCCATACAACTCCACACAAGCCTTCAGTTCTTCCTAACACCATCTCAGACATGTCATCCTCCGACGCACAACTCATCCTTTCCCATAACACCTACACACAACCACCTCACATCATGCCTCATGTCCACAAACTGCCTTCTCAGTTTATCGACAATCCAATCCATCTCCACTTTCTTCTTCTACATATTTAATCGCCAACACATTCCCAGTTCGCTACCTGAGTTCCTCCTTGATTATTCTCTCTCACCATCTCATCTCCATCATCACTATCGAGTGAGTGTAGGTGGCAACTGTTCATGTATGATGTCTGCAGTTCGTTGGAAATGATTTTCGTAACGCGACAAATCTCTCAACCATCACTTGGGAACACCAACTTACTTCACTGACATTGGCAGTGTTGAAAATCCTGATGTTGTTCACGCTTTATGCTGAGTGGAGTGTAGCGTAGTCCAGTGTAGTGCAGTGTAATGTAGTTCAGTAGATGTCCACATCGATCTCCACACATTAATGAAGGGAGGACTGTCTTGCTATTTCTCCAATCCTCACTAAGCTTCACATCCCCACCTGTGCTTATGACGCTGTCTGTAGTCGAAACGATGTTGTCTCCCACGGATGTAGGTAACTGAGAGAGACAACCTCGTTCTGATTTCTCCCACTCATCGTGATTTCTGCTTCTTATCGTTGTTGTCGTTGCCGTTGCCGTTGTCGTCGTCTTTGTTGTTGCTGCTGCTGCTGCTGCCGGGACATCTTCATCACCTCTATATTCTTCTCCAACTTCACTTGAAGACAGTACCGTGCTAGCTGCCCCCTTCACCTCCTCTTCTCACAACTTGTTGCTTTCCACCTACACATCTTCCAGCTTGTACCACATAACACAGTAGATATAAATAAATCATCATTGGTGAAATTGAAATCTTCTGGGGTCTTCTCATCCTTCAAACAGCGCATGCTCATCTTCTCACTCCTCACAGTTGTTTGTTGCATCACCCAATCGAATGCAATCGAGTGGAGTGGAGTGGAGTGGAGTGGAGTAGAGTAGAGTAGAGTTGAGTGGACGAGAATGAGGAAGATGATGGGTGATAGTAGGTGGTCGCCTTGTCTTACTCCTGTCCCCTCTCCACTCTACCATCTCCCCTGACTTCACTTCACTCCACTTCACTTGACTTCACTTCACTTGAGAGGTATCACTGAGCTTTGCATTGTGTTGTGAATCGGTTGACATGTGGCCTGATCACATGTGAAGCATATAGCTTGTGTGATGTAGGATGAGGTTGATAAAGTTTCGTGGTATTGGAAGTGTAGTGTTGAAGCAGGAGGATCAGGTGTCGAATTACTTGTCGGTCGATGGTATCGATGGTTTATTTCAAGTGTGTGAAGTTGAGGTAGATGTACAGTGTAGTGTAGCGTTGTATTGAATTTGCTGGTGATATGATTTGTTTACGGTGAAGGCAGCTAGGCAGCCGGCTAGCTAGGATGGTGGTAATTATGAATGCAGAGCATTTTTTTGTTGTCTCCCTGATGGTAAGGCATAATATTTTGCTGGGGGTGGACATGGTTGGAGCATGATTGTGCTCCAGTTCTTATGTGTCTACAACTCGCTGACTGCGTAGAATTTATTTCCCCTTTAAGTGTATTTGTAACATTGATTCAATGAAACTGAAATGTCGTTATTATGCAGTATTCAGTATTGTCAATAAATACATTGAAAATTTATCTTTTCGATTTCTCTTTTGACAGATAACTACAGTTAGACAAAATATAACAGGTAATAAGATGCTTTTGATTTTGCCTCAAAAATGAAACACAATGAAACTTTATATCCCATGTTCTTTTAGGTTATTTACTGTGTATTAAATTAAGACATCTTGCTAGATAACCAGGCTAGTTCTCTTCAGATCAGACTGTATTTTATAGTGTTTATATGGTTGTCGATGATTTTAGCATTATTTGTCCCTTCGGTTCCTAGTAGAACATACCGCTTCAGTAGCTTGTCTCCATTCCACTCTCTTCTCCGCAATCTTTTCAACCTGGTTCCACGGCTGTCAATAACCTTTCATTTCTTCCTCGTACGACCTCCTCCATATCGCTTTCGCCTCGGATGCCCAACTCGTCGTTTCCCATCTGGGTCCCACTTGAGTGCCTGGCTTAACGCGTGATGTCCGCGAATGGTCTTCTCAGTGTATGCCCAGTCTATCTACACTTCCTTCCAGTGCATATTTGTTGAGTGATAGGTTCTTGGTTAGTTCGTTGGCAGCCAGAGTTGCTTGTTGCTTATTCTTTCTGGCCATTAGAGCTTCAGAAAGAAGTGTGATGTGTTAGCTGGCAGGGGGTGTTCGTGTGAGTGACAAACTGACGGGGCACCTGGTTTTTGACCCCAGGCCTTTCAGCCTGCAGTTCACAGCTCTACCACTGAGCTGTTTTCCTGTCATTTCAGCATTGGTATTTATGAATCGAAGTATATCACTAATGTATTAAGGTCGATTTCAGTGTCTCCATCAAACCTAGTGTTGGGATAGGTGACGCGAGATTTAACTGTTGACATCATTTAGACACCTCAGATTCAAATCCTACAGATTATGATTAAATTAGTCTTTACCATGAAATAATATCAAGTGACAGATTAGGTGGAAACTCTCTCTCTCACACACATACACACAAGAACTCTTGAGGAATAGAGTTAACGCTTTACTAGAGAATCACTGTCATCCTTCATTTGTTCCTGCATTCAACTTGTTTGATCCTATAAGTTATGTCTGCCCATTACAAAACGAGCAAATCTTTAACAAAGAATATTGTAAGTCAGCATCGGATAGGAATGCAGTCAACCAGGATTTGTAGGAAGCGAAATCATTCAACAGAAATCTGTAGATATTTGATTAGGTAAAAACGACCAACAGTTGGAGATGTTATATAACGAGTATTTGGCCACCTGACTTTACATTATTGAACAGTATATCTTTTGACTATGGATTATCTAGTTGTAACGAGTGTCTTGATGAAAGTAGTTTTAACTCCCAATTGACTCGGTTCACTATTTCCTCACAATTTCAAGAAGTTAGTTAATGATGGTGATATTCTTAAGATATGCTAAATACACCTCATGTTAACACAAAGTTGCCACTGAGTACAGTAAAAGGTCACTGAGATCTGATAGTTGAAATCTTGATACCAGTTGAAGAATCATCGAAAGTGTAGCAGCACTGAATAGCTGTTTCGACCTAGTATACACTTCTCAGTACTACGTAAACACTACACCGTTATGGATCGCACTCAAGAACTTCAGGTATTACAGTGGATGTGTTAACTATTCAATCACTGGCCCGGTCTTTAATAATGTATAGTTTCTAACTTCTGTCAGTTCATAATATACGACAACTATCTACGAAGATATTCAGTTAGTATTCGCTTCACTTCCAAATGATTTAATTCCTGATATCGTCATAGTTGTGCACTATTAGGGATTCCTACAAGGAGGAAACAACTGTCAAGTGCTCCCACGTCTTCAATGTTTCTCTAATTCATATAAGTCAGTGATCAGTACTACTATGTAATAAATGAATATATGAATTATCTGTTTTCTATAAAGACTTGACTTAAAATTTCAAATATTAGGATAATTTCAGGGCTTAATTTTACCCGATATAATACCCAGAACCAAACATTTCTGATCACCGTACTAAAAGCCCTAATTATTAAATTGTACAGATTGTTAATACAAAATTTTTCATCCATAAATATAGATGGAGATGCCAGGAGTACTTCAACTGTAGCATGTGAGTAGTTTTTTGGTAATATTGACAAATATCACGTAGTTTTGCAGATAAAAGTAGTAGTCTTGAACACTATAAAGATAATGAATGCTTAGAAAGCAATAAAACAAGATGGAATTCCTCCAAAAGCACTGGAAACAGATGCAGAGATAACAAAGGACACGCTCACACCACTACAGAAGGAAAGGAACCCGCAGATTAGAAGAAGGTCCACATTACCACACTCCCAAAGAAGAGAGACATAAGTCTTTGCAAGAACTGGCGTGAAACCATGCTCTAACCATGTCCACCGCAAGCAAAATATTAGGCTAATTCATCATAGAAACACCGAAAAATGATTTGCACATTCATAGTTACAACCGGAACAAGCCACCTGACTGGCTGGCTTCACCAAAAACAAATCATGTCAGCAGCAAACTCAACACAATGCTACAATACACAACACTACACTACACTACCCAAAGCATCATCATACAACAAACAATACATAGAATGACAGCACACTGCACATCTACCTCTACATATACCTCAACTTCACACACTTCAAATAAACTCTCCATACCATCGACCGACAAGTAATTCGACACCTGATCCTCCTGCTTCAACACTACACTTCCAATACCACTAAACTTTATCAACCTCATCCTACACCACATAAGCTATATGCTTCACATGTGATCAGGCCACATGTCAACTGATTCACAACACAATGCAAAGCTCAGTGATGCCTCTCAAGTGAAGTGAAGTGGAGTGAAGTGAAGTCAGGGGAGATGGTAGAGTGGAGAGGGGACAGGAGTAAGACAAGGCGACCACCTACTATCACCCATCATCTTCCTCATTCTCGTCCACTCAACTCAACTCTACTCTACTCGACTCGACTGGATTGAGTGATGCAAGAAACAACTGTGAGGAGTGAGAAGGTGAGCATACGCTGTTTGAAGGATGAGAAGACCCAGAAGATTTCAATTTCACCAATGATGATTTATTTATATCTACTGTGTTATGTGGCACAAACTGGAAGATGTGTAGGTGGAAAGCAACAAGTTGTGAGAAGAGGAGGTGAAGGGGGCAGCTAGCACGGTACTGTCTTCAAGTGAAGTTGGAGAAGAATATAGAGGTGATGAAGATGTCCCGGCAGCAGCAGCAGCAGCAACAACAAAGACGACGACAACGGCAACGGCAACGACAACAACGATAAGAAGCAGAAATCACGATGAGTGGGAGAAATCAGAACGAGGTTGTCTCTCTCAGTTACCTACATCCGTGGGAGACAACATCGTTTCGACTACAGACAGCGTCATAAGCACAGGTGGGGATGTGAAGCTTAGTGAGGATTGGAGAAATAGCAAGACAGTCCTCCCTTCATTAATGTGTGGAGATCGATGTGGACATCTACTGAACTACATTACACTGCACTACACTGGACTACGCTACACTCCACTCAGCATAAAGCGTGAACAACATCAGGATTTTCAACACTGCCAATGTCAGTGAAGTAAGTTGGTGTTCCCAAGTGATGGTTGAGAGATTTGTCGCGTTACGAAAATCATTTCCAACGAACTGCAGACATCATACATGAACAGTTGCCACCTACACTCACTCGATAGTGATGATGGAGATGAGATGGTGAGAGAGAATAATCAAGGAGGAACTCAGGTAGCGAACTGGGAATGTGTTGGCGATTAAATATGTAGAAGAAGAAAGTGGAGATGGATTGGATTGTCGATAAACTGAGAAGGCAGTTTGTGGACATGAGGCATGATGTGAGGTGGTTGTGTGTAGGTGTTATGGGAAAGGATGAGTTGTGCGTCGGAGGATGACATGTCTGAGATGGTGTTAGGAAGAACTGAAGTCTTGTGTGGAGTTGTATGGCGAGTTTGTAAAGACTTCAGATAGCGGAGTGAAATGGTGACATGTTATTGAAGGTTTTATTCACTCTAGGAACTCAAAGGATAAAAAAATAATGAGGATAATGTTTGAACGTGAACTACCGATAGTGGTTGCTATTTGACTTTTCGGGGTATTAGTTTGCAAGGCATCATATGAGTCAGAATGAGGTTATAATCATCTGCCTGAGGTATATTTGTTCACATCTTTTTCATTAGTTCTTTCTATCAAAGCTAACTGCCTAATGTGAATGCATCTGAAAGAGAAAATGGCCTGCCAGATTTCAGCCTTGTTTTGAATAAGGTAGATAACTTGGAGAAAAATATCACTAAACTGACGTTGTTTATCGAAAAATTTAGCTTAATAGATATATTGTATACGTACAAGACTAGACACGTACGTTGGTTATAATCTGAAAATCAATATGTGTACACAATAGTGGAGCATACAAAGTTATTTGTAATCTCAATAGCTTATTTGTGAATACTCAGTCTCCGTCAGTGAGAGACTCATGTTCAAATCATCAAGACTACCTTTTGACTGATTACAAACACTAGATTTAGGAAAGATTTCAAAGAATGAAGTAAGATATAGTTGGATGTAACGGGTTATTCGGTTGTACAAAGTGTACAAATTTTTTAACCTTAAGGTGATGTTTAACTCAGTCAACGATGAGGTGTTAATTAATCTACTCGCTGGAGGTCATTTGATTGACTCGGAGTGTATAGACTATATTTTCCTACTAATTGAAGACTATGACTTGTCCGTCACGCTGTCAAATGTAAGATAATAGTTTAAAACTGGTTTGTAGCTACTTCCAATTTAATGATAGGGAGTGATGCGATGAATTTTCAAAGACTCATTGGCCAACATGTGCTATCTGTGGCATCAAGTATATTACGTTTCAATCCATTCTGTCCTATTATACGATTGTGAAGCGTATCCGTTGAAAGTAGATCACATGTGTCTTTTCAGTATTGTTCATGTTTAATTTGGTTGTTTGTGGCTAGCAGAAGAATCCAGGATGCACCTTTCGTCCTATTTGGGACTCACTCATCACCTGGATGTACCTACACCCCAGTGATGTTGTTCCCACTGAGACTCGAACCTCGTACGCATCGTTTCAAACGCAAAGGCATTATCCATTATGTCACGCAGGAACGATTGCCACACCTTCTACAACGGGTAGTGCTTACTACTATTTATTGACATACTTGTTATTCTCCGTTGTTTTGTTGGATCAAACTGTTCGACCTCTATTGGTATATGGGCTTCGATGCGGATACTTCGATATTGCCTGAATGTTTATTATGATAATTTGGTTGGTTGTGGCTAGCAGAAGAATTCAGGAGGAGCATTTCATGTTTGGTAAAATCACCGTGTAAGCAGCATTAAGGTCTACAGAAGGATAATAGGTAAGGAACGCAAGTTAGTTGATGAAGGTATGAAATTTCATCAGTTAGGTTGGTTTGAATATGTAGTTGTATGTCAAAGATTGTTAATACAAGATTTTTCATTTGTAAACATAGATACTAAAGTGAAGAATACTCCAAGTATTAAAGGTGAGTAGATTTGTGTTAGAATCTATATTAATTCCAATCATCGATTATGTTTCAATAATGATTATTTGTTGCCAAGTAATTCACATTGGAAAGCTCAGTGACACCTTTTAAGTGAAGACAGGAGTAAGATAAGGCTGATGCCTACTATCACCCATGATATTCCTGATTGTAGTGGACTGGATCATGCAACAAACAGTGGGCAGCTGTGAGAATAGGGGGATACGCTGGACGAAGGAAAAGATCCTAGAAGATTTGAATTTTGCCGATGACTTGTGTCTAATGTCACACAAACCTGAAGATCTATAGGCAAAATCCAACAAGTTGACAGAAGAGGCAGGGCAGCGAAAGGAGATGGGACTTCAAGTGAATATAGAAAAGATAGAGGTGATGAAGGTACCCAATCAACAACAAGCTCCAATCACCATCAACGGGAGAAACTTAAAGGAAGCTGCCTCTTTCACCTAACTATGGAGGCGGCATCGTTTCAACTACAGGTGGCGGCACAGGCACAGACGAGAATGTCAAAACCAGGATCGGAAGGAGAGCAAAACAGGCTTTCGTTAACCTGAAACCAGTGTGGAGATCTACTCCACTCAGCATAAAGCGTGAACAACATCCGGATTTTCAACACCAATTCAGTCAAGTCAGTGCCTCTATGTGATGGTTCAAAAACTTGGCGCATCACGAAAAGCACTTCCAACAAACTACAGACATCCAACAACAGCTGCCGCCTACGCTGGCTCGATACTGAAGATGGAGATCAGATGGCCAGGAAGAATAAGCAACAAGCAACTCTGGCTGCCAACAAACCAACCAAGAACCTATCACTCAACAAATATGCACTGGAAGGAAGTGTAGATGGATTGAACATACACTCAGAAGGTCGACTGGGGACATCACGCGTCAGGCCAGGCACTCGAGTGGGACCCAGATGGGAAACGACGAGTTGAGCATCCGAGGTGAGGGTGACACGGAGGAGATCGCGTGAGGAAGAAATGAGAGCTTCTGGACTGTCATGGAGCCAGGTTGAAAAGATTGCAGAGAAGAGAGTGTAATGAAGACGTGCTACTGAAGCGGTATGTTCTACTAGGAACCCAAGGGACAAATAATAATAATGATTATTTGTGTTAATTGCTATGGAGTATATTTAACTGGTCAACAAACTAATTTCCAAGTTAATAAGATAGATCAGGATGTGTCAATAATCATTTGTATGAGATCTTGTTGAATGAAAACTGTAAGTGTCACTTATATGATGATCAACCATAGTCAATTTACCCACCATGGGGAAAAAAATTAAGTTCAAAGTTTTTTTCTGCCGACTGACTGATTAGTACACACCATGATAGGAATTTACTACAACGTAATAAATAATGTAAATATGTCTACGTATGAATGGATGCTAAGATATTTCAGTGGTTCTTACCCGTCCATCAAATCCACTGTAGAAGAAAAGTTAAATTCAACATTCCACTTTCAAGATGTAATGGTAAAGAGAAGGGATGATGGCTGGATTCAAAGATCAATTTATCGAAACTAGAATCGATAAATTCTATTCAGAAGACACGATAGATGTTGAAGTAGTAACACTTAGAAAAAACACTATCGAATAATGGATACCCTAAAAGATTTATTGATAAAAATCTGAAGAAACGAATCACTCCTCATCCTATTACAGTCCCTAAGAAAATCTTAACCATGAATTTGGAATTCAAACGAGACATCACAGTCGAAGTGCTGAAAATTCGCCTGTCAAAGTATATCAGTAGTAACTTTTATGCTGCTAGGCTGAGATTGATTTTCTCCAGCCGTCGTCTGATTCGACAGTGCGTGGATGATAGGCCACCAGTTATGTCTACATGTATGTATGTATTTAAAAATTCACACGCTTCTGTGGAACTGACTATATTGGATATTGTAAGCCGGTCCTCCGGAAACGTGTTGCTGAAAATCACCCGGTTAGCCTTACCAAAGTAGAGCGAAGAAAACACAACTTCATCCATATGTGAACACCTAGTAGAGTTAGATCACTCAGTTCCCCGACATTTTCATCTTTTAAGGTAATTTACACAGTTGAATTGAACTACTTCAAAGTTCTGCGCTTCTACCACTTATGCATTATCACCAATTTTCACTTGATTGACAGCACTTGTGCCTTAGCTCACCAATTGTTATCAATTCATCCTTCCTTACTCATAGTGACCCATTTTCTATTTCTTCCATTTGAATACATCCCACCATCAACACCACCAATTGTATATATTTCGGTATGTTGACTTAGCAACTCTTCTTAGTGTAGTAATCTGTCATTTTACCGATGATAGATACGACTGTACAGCATGAGATAATGAAGTCGTTGAATACAGAAATGCTTCTTCTTCTTCTTCTTCACTGATACATATCTTGTTCTTATTCACGAATAAACTAGTATATTTCGTCAGTTACAGGTTTCAAATTGTTATTCATCGTAGACTGATATCAGTTACAGGAACAAAGGAAACCTGGGAGCACTGGACAGTGGTAAAGTGCTGGCCACGGAACTTGAAGGTTGCGTGTTCCATCCCTGGCGGGGTCGTTGGTGAGCACTGCTGAGGAGTCCTTTACTAGTCGGACGAAACAGCTATCCAGTGCCCCCAGGTTTTCTTTTTTTCCTCCAACTGATGTCAGTCTTGGATGAATAACAACTTGAAACATTTCCAAATCCCCACAACTCCCTCAAACTTACAGTTTTGTCCACTAACCAATGACGCACACTTAATATTTGAAGGCTACGATTGTATCTGACTAACTGAACCTTCACAAGTGGAGGAGGCTTTGAACCCATGAAACCAAGTGTAACTCAACCTCATACATTTGTATTTACTCGGCTATAAGCCATACTAGTTTTATGAGGGTTTATGATACTATTCGACTGCCTAGGTTGGAGAAAGCGGGGTGAGGTTGGAATACAGGACCAAACTAAGTCGAATTAACCTGAAATCTAATCAATCAATATCAACATAGGACCAGACATTACTGCGTAACTGTCCGAGTTGCCACATCTCATATCACTACATCAAGTAGAAAGGTAGTGAGGTGAAGGATGAAGATACGAGATTGCAGTCAAATGAAATATAAAGTATGAGAAGAAAGAAAAGAGGAGTGACGAAATTGTGAGATTCGGTATAATGTCGTTAAGATGAGGATAATGTGTGTATACATCTGCCCCACTGACATCGGTTCTGAGCCATATCATCTAGAGTCTCCAAACACTGGTTTCTCTCTGCTGAAATCCACTCAATAACCTTGTGCATATTCGGTACATTAAGCAATGAGGCACACCTATTGTGTGAGAGTGGACAATACTGCCTGCCTAGCCTAACGTCGGTAGGTGGAACGAGGTTAAAAAGCGTCATTCTTTGATTGGAAGTCAACTCCATACATCAATGACCCATTTTCGAATTCTTCCCCTTCAACATATCCCACAACACCACCAATTGTATATATTTCGGTATTTTGACTGAGCAACTCTTCTTAGTGTAGTAATCTGTCATTTTACCGATCACAAATACGACTGTACAGCATGAGATAATGAAGTCGTCGAAAAGCAACCTAATGATCATAAGTAATCATAGATACTGATTAGTAGTGATATCACGATACATGTTTCGACTGTTTTTACGAATCATCAGCTACATCCATGTGGATCTGATGTTTGAATTGATGGATACTGGATCCAAGTTCCAATGAAAACAATATCACTTACTAGGAGGCAAGTGTATCTAACTGATGATTTCCAAATATGAAGAAACGCGTTTATTGGACAGCAGTACTAGCCACTATCTGTCATAATTTTCAAGATATAGTTATTGTCAATATTGGGGCTTCATTTCAGAAGCGCATATATCAACAGTAACCGATCGATTCAATTCAACCAATAAAGGGAAACTTAAGGTTATACCACTAAGTTAGATGATTGATCAGTAATTTCTTGATGAATACTGTTGAATGTGTTTTGCCTATCATCTACCTTCTTCATGTCATCCTAACAAGTTATGTTTACCAGATCATACGATTAGTAACCCGACTAACCACTCTTCAAAGGTTTTACTCACTTCTGCCCATCTATGGTTTTTTTTAAACTTTATCAGAGAAACTATCTGAGACAGCCATGGTTAAACAGATTAGTATTTCATTGGTACAGGGTTTCAACTGAAGGTCAAATGAAAATCTAGGTCACCGCAAGATTTAAACCATCGGCATTCAAGTTACACACTCAGAGCTTGATTAACTGACCTACAAGATCTTGTACTCATCACCTTTATTCCAATTGGCTGCTAACTGATTTCGTACATAAAGAGTAGTCACGATCATTGAGATGGTTCACTTGTTTGATAACTGATCGTCTTAATTTTGATGATTATCGATTCTTCCTTGTAAATAATTTCGACAATGACCCCACACCTCACAGAATCGCTACTCTTTAAGATAACCATTAGTTTATTAGACTTGCATTGATATCAGCTAGCTGATGACTGAAATGAATTTTAGATCTGGTCTACAACTATGTAATGTAGAGTACTAGATCGGTGGCTGACTGAGAAGACTGATTGGTGACATCACGCGTCACACCAGGCCCTCAAGTGGAACCTAAAGGCGAGTCGGGCGTCCGAGGTGAGGGTGACATAGAGGAGGAGATCATGTGAGGAAGAAATGAAATCTTGTGGGCTGTCGTAGTGCTAGGTCCAAAAGACTGCAGAGAACAGAGTGCAATGCAAGCATGTTCCACTAGGAACCCAAGGGAAAGTAATAATAATAATACTTATAATATCCCCTAGATAATAAACCTTGATATTTTCTTCTGGAATATCACAATTCCAATGAATCATTTTGGTTAGGGTCTTACAATTGGTACTTTAGATTTTACAGTTACTTACGCCGCACAACTTATAAATATCTTGATCTATTCATTTACTATCAGGAGTTGGAATTCCTTGGAAGCCATTGTAAGTTAAATGAAATGATGTATGCAACACAGTTTAGTTACCCATATCTTTTATCCTTCATGAATATGATATTCTTGTACGAATATACTAAATTCCCATTCAAGCTTACTATAAAGGCTTTATATAAACTGGAAAACTAAAGGTTTTAATGTTCCACTGCTCTAGAAAACGCCATATTTATGAATTAATGGTAAACTGATTGAATCATAAAGTGGATTCGAATTCACAATTTTCATAACTGTTAGTAATTTATGAACCCGGAAAGTACACATTACCAAAACAAAAATACTCCTTCTCTTCAAAACAATTAGTGTTTCAGAGAAGTTTTTATCACGTAATGATATCGCTTTGGACCAAAAGACAGCTGTTTTAGCCTAGCTTAATGATTTACTGTTGGATAGGACCTCAGAACCGTAGAGTGGTACTATTAGGCCATAAGATAAGACCGAAATTAGGCATTTCATGGAAGTTGATCAAGTTGAATTCATATCACAATTATTAATCAAAGCTAAGCAATATGAATCATTGAAATACTGAGGCAATATCCCTTAATATTTGATTTTTCTTTCTAACTAACCGAAAGTGTTGTGCACATGTCCCGAGCAAATTCAACACAACGCTACAATACACCACACCCCACTACACTACACTACACTACACTACCCAAAGCATCATCATACAACACACAATACATAGAATGACAGCACACTGCACATCTACCTCTACATATACCTCAACTTCACACACTTCAAATAAACTCTCCATACCATCGACCGACAAGTAATTCGACACCTGATCCTCCTGCTTCAACACTACACTTCCAATACCACTAAACTTTATCAACCTCATCATACACCACACAAGCTATATGCTTCACATGTGATCAGGCCACATGTCAACTGATTCACAACACAATGCAAAGCTCAGTGATGCCTCTCAAGTGAAGTGAAGTCAAGTGAAGTGGAGTGAAGTGAAGTCAGGGGAGATGGTAGAGTGGAGAGGGGACAGGAGTAAGACAAGGCGACCACCTACTATCACCCATCATCTTCCTCATTCTCGTCCACTCAACTCAACTCGACTCGACCCGATTGGATTGGATTGGATGATGCAACAAACAACTGTAAGGAGTGAGAAGATGAGCATGCGCTGTTTGAAGGATGAGAAGACCCCAGAAGATTTCAATTTCACCAATGATGATTTATTTATATCTACTGTGTTATGTGGCACAAGCTAGAAGATGTGTAGGCGAAAACTAACAAGTTGACAGAAGAGACGAGGCAGTGACGACGGGACTTCCTTCAGATGATGAAGATACCCAAACCACAACAGCATCAACAACAAGCACCAATCACCATCAACGAGTGAGAGCTAAAGGAAGTAGTCTCTTTCAGCTACCTACCTCCCTACGAGAAAGCATCGTTTGAACTACACACGGTGGCACAGGCATAGATGAGGATATCAAAGCCAGCCACCATCGGAAAAGTAAGACAGGCTTTCATTAATCTGAATCAGTGTGAAGATGTACCCCACTGCACTCAGCATAAAGCGTGAACAACATCAGGATTTTCAACACCAATTCAGTCAAGTCAGTGCTTCTATGTTATGGTTCAGGAACTTGGCGCGTCATGAAAAAGATTTCCAACGAACTTCAGACGTCATACATCATCAGCAGCTGCCATCTACTCTCTTGTCTGCTAACGAACCAACTAAGATCCTATCGTTCAACAAATATGTAGTAGACGAAAGTAGAGATGGATTGGATTGGTTATACACTGAGGAGGCCTACTGGGGACATCACGCGTCAGCCCCTCAAATGGAATCCAAAGGGAAAACGACAAGTTAGGCATCCGAGGGTGATATGGAGGAATAAAAGCTTCTAGGCAGTCATGGAGCCATGTTGAAATGACTGCAGAGATCATAGTGGAATGGCGACGTGCTACTGAAGCCCAAAACACAAATAATAATAATAATAACAATTTTAAGTGAGCCTATAGTTACTGTCCCTGAAAGATGTCTACGAATGAGTTTATCCTAAGGTGTAATCAACGTACTAATTAGAGTGTTTCACAACTTGTAGAATATTCTAACCTTCGTTTATCTTTTGTATGATAACTGGTTAAAATCAATAGGAAATAAACAGCTAGACCATAGAAATTGTCAATTTTAACTCCATATATCATCATCAGCTTTGCTTTCATTTCAAAATTTAATTCTCTTTCTTTCTTTATTTCTCTTTTATCAGGTTAATTGGTGTTATTTATATGATTCTACTCACGTGTATTGGCATAGTAATATACTTTTGTATAAAACATTGAACAATAATAGATAAGCATTTATAAAACTGTGATTATTGATTTTTTTCTGTAAAAATAATGAATGTATATATTGGTGTAATTTTTTCTTTCATTTTATCATTATTATTCATTTCAAATTTGAGAAAATTTTTCCATTCTTGTCAATATTTTATCAATCAGAGTTATTAATTATATATGTATGTGTGTGTGTTGTAAACTGTGATTATCTATCTGGTTGTTATTGTAAGAATGACTGTAGAAATGTGTATAAAATGAAGTTTCGTAAGTGAAGTATTTCAGTACGCTCAGTTTTTGACTAATCACTGGATGGCCTTGTCTAATCAGGCTGTAGAAATCTACATATGAGACTTTGGTGGTCTTCAAACTACTTAAATTATTTATTAGTAGTATATTTTGCTAGTTGAAGAAACCTTCGTGTCTAAGATAATTTCTTGTGATCTAAACGAAATCTTATTGAAACCATAGTTGAAAATCTACTCAATTATATGAGAAATATCAATATGAACTATGTCTCATTTGTAAATTGATGATCCTAAACATGACGGATGGCGGAAACTTAAATCATAAATGACAAGGTAACTGTTATGAGGTCCTAGTTTGGCATAAAACATTGTTATTGATCTTTGTATAGGGATAGAGAGAAAAGCTTAGTCTGCAGAGTGATCAATCAAAATGTCTTCTATGTTATCACGTCTACTGTTTGCTCTGTTCAATCTTTCGGACTGTAATACACCTTCCTACACGTCTATCGTATCTTCTCCATTAATTAGTCAAGTCAGGAATCAACTGGGAATTTGTTGGACGTTGGTGGCTGACACTCGATATCTGTACATCGTTAGCGGTCATAGCGAGTAGCAGTACCCAAACCATAACAGTGGCGACGGAAATGGGATATTGGGAAGTGGTTCGTTCGAAGATAGATAATTTCCTCGAACAACAAATGAGGAGTATCGAGATCATTTTGAAGATGGAATTTGCTGGCCAACATGATTCCAGGAAGGTACGTCTCCTACTTCAAAAATTTGGTCCACCTGAGCTCGACCAGTACTGCAATATGATTTCGCCGCAAAACCCAAATGATTACACTTTTGACGCCGCAGTCCTGACACGTCTGCAGAATATCAACAACTGAGCAACCTACAGCGTGAGACAACTTTAGTCCAATGCGAAAGCCAGGGTGGTTCTCAAGTGAATGCAGTTCGCTAGACATGTCATTTCTGCGCATCACCCTCTGGTCACAGATCCTCCTCCCTATCTTGCCGGTTCATCGGTCCAGTAACTCATCCTATACCAATTAACCCTCGAAGACACTTTCACCGCTTTATTGGCAATGTGGTCCCAGGCACTTCGTCAAATATTGACCACCTAAGAAACATCAATACGGGGACTGTAATGCTGCGGGCCATAAGGACGGTTTTTACCGCCAACGCACTTAACGACATGCACAAAAGTCATCCTCCAGATATCGAACGGCTCATGCACGTGCCTACCGAAAGAATATCGAGAACACTACTGATCCCCAAGTTAACAAGCAGAAAGCCCCTTTGTATCGGTCAGATAGATTCAAGAAGAAGAAAGTGTGACCCAGTCTGACCTCAAATAACATTCTTTCAAAAAGGGGAGATGTTGTGAGACACTAGTTTAGCATATAAAAAAGAAACATTGTTATTGATCTTTATATAGGGATAGAGAGAAAAGCCTAGTCTGCACAGTGACCAATCAAAATGTAATTTATGCTATCACGTTTATAGTTAGACAGACAGACGGTGGATCAGCCAATCAACAGGATGGTTTCAAACAGCGAACTATCTTAATGCCATTTATTGACCTACTTGCTATTCTCTGTTGTTTTGTTGGAACGAATTGTTCGACTTGTATTGCCATATGGGCTCCTATGCGGATACCTTGAGATTACCTGAATGTTAATTATGATAAATTGGTTGGTTGCGGCTAGCAGAAGAATCCAGGATGCACGTTTCGTCCTATTTGGGACTCACTCATCACCTGGATGTACCTACACCCCAGTGAAGTTGTTCCCACTGAGACTCGTACGCATCGCTTCAAACGCCAAGGCGTTATCCACTATGTCACGGAGGAACGATTGCTACACCTTCTACAACGGGTAGTGCTTATTACTATTTATTGACATACTTGTTATTCTCCGTTGTTTTGTTGGATCAAACTGTTCGACCTCTATTGGTATATGGGCTTCGATGCGGATACTTCGATATTGCCTGAATGTTATTTATGATAAATTGGTTGGTGGATAATGGATAATGCCTTGGCGTTTGAAGCGATGCGTACGAGTCTCAGTGGGAACAACATCACTGGGGTGCAGGTACATCCAGCTGACGAGTCCCAAAGAGGAAAAAACGCGCATCCTAAATTCTTCTGCTAGCCATATCCAACCAATATATCTTAATACCAGTGATATAGGGATAGAGAGAAATGACTAGACCAGAAATGGACCTATCAAAATGTAGTTTATGTCATCACGTCTACAGTTAGACAGACAGATCGTGGATCACCCAGTCAATGGGATTATTTCAAACAGTGAAATATTTATACATTTGCTTTATTTCCCTTTGTTTGTTTCGTCTGTTGAATCTTTTCGACTGTAATAAACCTTCCTACACGTCTATTGTATCTTCTCCATTAATTAGTCGAGTCAGGAATCAATTAGGAAATTGTTGGACGTTGGTGGCTGACACTCGATATCTGTACATCGTTAGCGGTCATAGCATATAGCAATCGTCCAAATCGTAACAGTAATATGCTTAGAAACATGATAACTCTCAATATGGTGATGAATCATTATTATCCTTATTTGTCCCTTGGGTTCCTAGTGGATCATAGGGCTTCAGTAACACGTCTCCATTCCACTCTCTTCTCTGTAATCTTTTCAACCTGGCTCCACGACAGCCCATAAGCTCTCATTCCTTCCTCACACCATCTCCCCTATGTTGCCCTCTCCTCGGATGCTCAACTCGCCGTTTCCTATCTGAGTTACACTAGAGGGTCTTGCGCGTCATGTCTCCCCGAATGATGTTCTCGGTGTATGCCCAATCCATCACCACTTTCTCCTTCCACATATTTGTTGGATCTTGATTGGTTTGTTAGCGGATAAGAGTTGCTTGTTGTTTATTCTTTCCAGCCATCTGATCTTCAGTATCCAGTGAGCGTAGGCAGCAGCTGTTCATGTATAATGTCTGTAGTTTGTTGGAAATGCTTTTCGTGACGCGCTAAGTTTCTTAACCACATAGAAGCAAGCACTGACTTGACGTTGGTGTTGAAAATCCGGATCTTGTTCTTTCTGCTGAGTGATGAATAATACTCTATTCTATCTCTATTTTCCTTTAAACGGTTTATCTCAATATAGTCCATTTTGGCTTATACTTTTCTTCTAATCTTTCTTGATCCCCTCAAATCTTACTGATTTCTAAGCGAATCCCTTGACTGACCTTTTATATTAAAAAATACTCAGACAATCTCCTTTAACTCAGTGTCTATTCTTCGCCTATACTTTGCTTATTGTTGGGCCATATTCCTTCTTGAACTCCGAAAAAAATACAACATTGTATTACGTAGAATTTTGAAGGTTATTAATAGAGTAGCAAGTAGGACACTCTTAACCGAGCTGATAAATACAATAGTGGATAGGCATCTGAACTCCTGTAGACACCTCTGGTTAAAAGTATTTTATCTCATGATAAGCATCCTTTTCATCCTCATGGAAGACAAGAAGCAAAGTACATTAAACTCTATCCATGCACAATTACACACAAATATTTAACCATATCATCTTATCAAGCTTGTGTATTATCTGAAGAAAATCTTATTAGACCATAGTCTTATCAATTAACTTCGTAATAGTGAACAATTATCACATCCCTGAAGTTATCAATTATTTCAACAATACTGTTGTTAGTAAAAGTGTTTTTATATCATACCGTCGTTGATTGGACCGAATTGATCGGTCTCTATTGGTATATGGACTCCTGTGCAGATACCTCGATATTGCCAGTGTCCTAATTATGTTAATGATGGATCATGGCTAGCAGTGGAATCCAAAATGCGCATTTTGTCTTATTTGGGACTCGTAAGTTGGGTGTACCTTCTTCCCAGTGAGTGGTGTTGTTCCCACCGACATTCGGACTCGGGAGCGATGGCTTCAAACGCCAGCGCGTTATCCACTACACCAACGAGCTACGCGCTGGCATATAAAGCGACCGCTCCTGATTTCGTATCTCGGTGGGAACAACATCACTAGGAAACAGGTACACCCAACTGATGAGTCCTAAATAGGACAAAATGCGCATCCTGGATTCCACTGCTACCCACGATTCATCATTAACATCATACTGTTGTTCTTCATTACGTAATATTGTTAAACAGCATCATTGAAAATTTTCTAGGTAAATGAATGCAATATAATAATCATCATGCGCTGTCCAATAAATTAAGTCATTTTTCTTAATTAGCTGTACTGGGTGTTTTAGCCCACAAAATATCTTTCTCAGTAAGTTTGTAGGTTTAACTGCTAACCTAATTTTTTAAATGTAAACACTGTCAATAAGTTGAATTGTCTCTTCTCTTATAAATCTTGATGAAAACATCTCTTACTAATTCATAATTTTCCTAATAAATTATTAGTATAATCACTAAGGAAGGTAGTTCTTAGGCTAAAGGATTCAGAAGAGTTCTCCAGTGTTCTTAATTGATCGTTCAAACTGTTAGCTATGCAAATCTTACCAGCTCGAAACATCAGTGCACAGATTAAACTTCTTTTGTACATAAGATGAACAAATAATCAGAAAGGTGTATCTTGACCAACCCACTACCTCTTACCTAATACACTTAATCCAATTATTATTATTATTATTTGTCCCTTGGGTCCCCAATGGAACATATGGCTTCAGTAGCACGTCCCCATTACACTCTATTCTCTGCAATCTTTTCAACCTACTTTCACGACAACCCACAAGCTATCATTTCCTCCTCACATCATCTCCTCCATGTCACCCTCGCCTCGGATGTTCAACTCGTCGTTTCCCCTTAGGATTCTACC